CCAGAAGTCATCCATGGGGATTTCCATGGCTGGCAGCGAGACACCAAAAGGACGCAGAGGTCGGCAACATTTTGGTCGTGTTCATGCTTCAAGTCTTGGAGACACTAGAGGAGCACCCAATTTCGCGGGCTGGCTATCTCATACTGGTCTTTGCCGAACATCCGGAAGATCTCGGCATTGCTTGGCGCGAAGAAGACCACATGCGCATTGACCCCGCATCCATCTGGCAATTGGACCGGCTGCGGGCACTGGTTGCACCAGACCTACCTCTTGGTCTGTTCACTCTGGTCTTCAACCAATGTTGCTGGGGTGCGCCTTATCGCAAACCCACACGCCTGCTGACCAATCTGCGGCCACTCCGAGACTGGGGCCCCTGCCAATGGCCACAGTTTGACGCTCAGCGCAACTACCTTGGCCCGCAGATTGCTACTTGTCATTGTCGACCTACTGTCACCCTGGCTCGGGGCCCACAGGACACTGCCTTTCGCACTTCTACGACTTCAGTCTACCCCGAGCGTATGGACCAGGCACTTGCCAAGGCTATCATGGTCTCCTTCATCAATGCCCCTCTCTCCACTAAAGAGGGGGAACGAAGTGAGGGGCATGATTCAGGTCAAGATCGTGGAGGTGATGGAGCTCAAGGAGTACCAGTTCAGGAAGGTCGAGAAGGACGAGATCAGCAGAAGGCCTCGAGCAAGGACTCCCAGAGAAGAGCGAAAAGGGCTGGGCAAGGAGATAGAGAGGAAGGAGCCAAGAGGGCATTGTTGGCACGTTCCGGGGCAGTTTGCCCTGGCGCAGGCCCGCCCATGCAAGTCAGCTACAAGGGAGAGAAGAGATCCATTCATGATGGAGCAGGGCTATGCTCGCCGGGAAGGTGGCCGGTGAAGCGGAGGAAGCAAGCGGCATCCGAGAGGGCCAGGTCCACGATTGCTTGGTTCGTGGAGGCATTCGACATCTGGCTGTCCGGTGTTGGAGAGGAGGCTGCAAAGGGCATCTTCTGGAAGATGGCGGCTGGGCGGGTGGAGCAGTCGCCCTTTGAGGAGAGTGTGGGCGAGGCTCGCAGCGACTTGGACCGCCACTTGGGCAGATGGGGGCTGGATCCCCTCAGGAAGAAGTCGGACCGGCAGACGGAGGTGAACTTTCGCAGGCTGGCGGCATTGGCGGAAGCGCTGGATGATGAGGACTCGGACTTCCTGTGCGAGGTGGCCGCGAAAGGAGTCAGGTTGGGAGTCGACGTGAAGATGCCTCGCACCCCACTGGTCTATGAAGAGAAGACCAGCTGGACCGTGGACGCCACCGACGAGGTCATGCAGGACATCTTGGCGGAGAACTATGAGTCGGCGGTGGAGAATGCAGAGGACATAGCGAGGCAGGTGAACCAGGAAGTTGAGAAGGGCACCATCATTCGAATGGCAGAGGAGGAGGCGCGGGAGCGCTACGGTGGAAGGTTGGCCGTGGCGGCGCTGGGTGCGGTGCCTAAGGAGCTGGGGACGAAGAAGGTGAGACTCATCCATGACAGCGCCTATAGTGTGGACATCAATCGACGTATTCGAGTTCTTGATCGGATGAGGTTCCCGCTGATAGACGATGCAGCGGCGGTCCTGAGGCAGGTGCAGGAGGAGGTTGAGCAGAGCCGGGGAGAGGTGCGCTTCTCGGTGCTCTACGACATCGCACGGGCTCACAAGTTGGTGCCAGTGGTGGAAGAGGACTGGGGCCTGCAGGCCTTCCGGATGCCTGGTGACTCATCGGGCGACATCTTCATGCACACAAGGGGCACCTTCGGAATTGCGAGCGCAGCCTACTGGTTCGGTCGAGCGATAGCCGTGGCCGTGAGATGCGGGCATCGGCTGCTGGGCCAGGTCTATGGGTTGCTGCATCTGATATATGCTGACGATGGCTGGCTCACAGCGGTCGGGAAGGACTTCTGGCGGAAGATACTGATGTGGTTCTTCGCCTTTGAGCTGATGGAGATCCCGGTCACGTGGGCAAAGGTGAGAGGCGGCACCCAAGTCGACTGGATTGGCTACTGCCTGAACGTTTACGACTACCAGAAGGGCATCAACCAATCGAAGAGGGATTGGATAGTGGCCTGGATCAACGCCAAAATGGTCCAGGGAGGGGTGGTCGGCCGCGAACTCAAATCAGTGTTGGGCCGACTGAGCTTCGTGGCTGGAGCGCTGAGGCATGTGAGGCCATTTCTGGCGCCGCTGTTCTCCTGCTCGTCGGCTATGGCGCCAGGGACCTTTGCCAAGTTCCCGGACGCGGTGGTGATCCTGCTGGAGTTCATCAAGGAGGAGGTCTCACGGAGGCCTATGGGGCCTGCAGAGCCTTTGGAGAAAGACCCGGTGGACATATTCCGGGTGGCTGCCAAGGCCGCCGGAGAGGAGATTGTGATAGGCGGCTGGGAGACGGGAGTTGAACCAGATCAGAACAAAGCCCGATGGTTTTCATTCGGCTTGAACCGGAGAAATGCCCCTTGGGCGTATCTCAAAGGAGACCCCTTCAGGAACATCGCCAGTTTGGAGCTCATCGGGGTGCTGGTGGCGGTCATGGTGTTCGCGCCAGGTGCTTCTTGGACGAAAGGAGGAGCCGCGGTGACTTTGTCAGCTTACACCGACAACTTGGCCAACACCCATGTGCTGAAGAAGTTCGGCTCCAGCCGGTATCCACTTTCCATCGTGGCTATGGAACTGGCGGTGCAACTGGATATTGCAGGAGTTGACCTACAACTGCAATGGGTACCAAGAGCCCAAAACCAACCGGCAGACGACCTGACCAACCAGATGTTCGATGACTTCGACATGACGAACCGGTTGGAGGTGATATTTGAAGAGTTGCAGTTCAAGGTCATGAACAAGCTCTTGGACAAGGCAGGGCAGCTCGATGAGGAGCTTAAGCTCTACAAGACGTCCAAAGAGGCCAAGGCGGCGCAGCTGGCATCGTCGCTGGAGCGAGGCAAGAAGGCCAAGAAGGGCGAGCTGCGCTGGAAGGATCCCTGGTGAGGACTGTGGGGGTTTGTGTTCAAGAAACTTGGGTCTTCCCTCAATAGGCGGGACGGTTTGAAAGACGGGGGAGGTAGTGCAGACCTCGCTTCGTCTAAAGTTGGGGGAATCAGGCGAAACAAGGTCAGGCACAATAGAAAACCTTCCTTTAGATGGAAAGGGGGGTGAGTCGTGTCTGACGTCCCATGTCTGTCCATGGAAAAGCCATGGGCAGTAAACACGCGACAGGACTTGGTGCGCAACCCCTCGGAAAAGGCCGCCGCGTGAGCTGAAGTGACATATATATAGTGATTATACAATAGTGTGTAGTTATGTCTAATTACATCGCTGTGACTTTGCTTGAAAGTGTCTATTTAATTGCTGTAGTAGGGACCCCCCGGCAGACCCATCTCCGACGAACCATGGTCATGTTCCTTTTAGCCTATAGGCAGCTGGAGAAGAATTGCATTAGGTCTCCAAATATCTCCAAATCATAAGGTGTCGAGAGCTTTGCTCAAATCAACGTGCCAACACATGCAAGAGGTGAAAACAGAACGGATGCCAAGCTTTTGATTATTGCAGTATGTGGCAACAGTCCAATGAGGCAACGAGGCGAGAGTGTTCTACATGTGGGGACAGTGACTGGTGAAACAACTGCTTAGGATCCAGAATGTCAACCAGTTGTTTTCTCAATCTTGCCCCGAGCAAGGACAGCCAAGCGAAGATCAATCCTGAAGCTTGGCGTCATGAGTGAGAGAGGGGGATAGGAGAAAGAGGAGAGCTGAGACCAAGAACGCAAGAGAGAGAGAGAGAGAGAATGAATGAATCACTGATTGGCTTGGTTTCACCGACCGAGGAGTCGAAAAGCCGTCGACGGCAAAAAGACCCAGTGTGTCCATCCAGACAAGCCAATGATGTTTGCTT